CAAAATAACTCCCAACGGGATAAAGGCTCGTACGGAAAAGATCGAGGCTAAAATGTCAATGACCCCACTAAGGACAATAAAAGAACGGCGACGAGCAGCAGGTACGGTAGAACGCCCAGTTGAAGACAACTCAGTGGCGGCAGTTGCAGGAACCTCATTGGGGGGGGAGCAGTTACGGGAAGCGCAGCAGGGACAGCAGCAGGGACAGGGAGCCCGGGAGGAGTACCAGTGACAGGAAGTCGGTTACCGGGAGCAGTTGCCGTCGCCGGAATGACGATGCCGGTTCCGTTGGAAACTCGTCAGAGAGCGCGAACGCGTTGCTGGACTTCCAAAATCAGATGAGACAGGCGAGGATTACCAGCAGGAAACTCCTGAGCATCGCAAACACGTTAAAAGAGATCATCTGGCCAGACAGCCCGCTGATGCGCTAACTCGCATCCCAGCTCCTCCAGCAGATAATCAAGAGAAGACATGATGAATAAGAAGAAATAAATAAAACAAAAGAAAAGACCCTATTTATAGGAGGGGGGGAGTACTGATGGTACCCCTAATCCATCAGCCCAGGCCCACGCAAGAGTCCATAAACAAGGCCCAGTGAAGGGAACAAAGGAGGAAGATCCAAGCCGCCTCATGGGTATTCGCGCGACTGGGCTGGTCCAACCAGGCGGATCCATCGGCCCAGACGGTTAGCTTTCCAAGGGTTGCGTCTCAAGCATGTCGGGTCCTTTACATCAGGTCTTAGTCCGAGAACCTAAGGTCCAGAGTCCGATGGGAAATTGTATAAATACCCCTAGGAGTGAAGTGTAAAGGAGGGAGAACAGTTGTTACTATGATTATAATATACGATAAGTCACCATTCCTTAGGGACACGATCAAGTTTTTCCTAAAAAAAGGAAAAGATACTATGAACACACCAGGATTTTTTCACCTTCCATTGTCTAATGTCCACTGGGAAAACGATGATATATTGTTCGTTTTAGAAAATATCGAATCAGTCTCAAAGATTGTTGTAGGCCTAAACGATCGTAAGATCATTGGCTAAATTAAAACAGAAGATATGGAACGGATCCCATGTGATAACATCTCTTTTTTTGATTTAGTTTTAACTAAAAAAAAGTTTTATTAAAAAAAAAAGTGAACAAAGAAAACTCATTTAAAGTGGAGTATTGGCACAAAACTAATTCTTGTTGTCGATTGATTTTTATCCCGTGGACCTACGTACGACTATAGTGGAGTCCGTTAGACTTTCCCCAAATCGACCCACTCTTTCTGCTACCTCTGCTCCACATCGTCAGATTCCCTGTAACTGCATTCCTTGTCGACATATCCCTTGATTAATTAATGATCACCGGCGAGGACGGCGAGGACGGCGACGGCGACGGCGGAGAGTTATAGTGTTATATTTTGATCAAGCCAGAACGACAGCATGCTCTTCCGGTAACAAGGATTCTCGTTGCAGATCTTTAATCTTCTATCACGGATTGTCCGCATCCAATGCCTATCTGAGAAGTTGGATTTCTTAGCTTGAATCCGATCACGCTCTAGAAACGCTTTCTGCTTCGATCGCAGCCAGCAGAAGCTACGTAGCTTTACCGGAATGGAGTCGTACACCTTCCACCACCTTCTGTGAGCGGCGTCGCTGGCGAATTTCCGCATGCCGTGTACGTTCCAGTTACAGTCGTAGTCACGGTAGCACCACCAAGGTTTTATTCCGAGGTAATGGAGAACGTAGAGTTCTGGAGGATCTGCCGTGAAAAGATGATTCTTCTTCTTTATCGCATCCCTGTTTTGATACAAGAAATGTTTAAGGAAGTTCATCGTTCTCGGCATTCGATGCCACCATGTGAAGACCTCGTTCAAGTATCCCTGGTCGCCTCCGTTGTAGGATTTAATATCGTGGATGTGATCCATCAGAAGGTTGAATGTTGCGATCGATGGTTCGATGACCATCACGCCGGAGTTAAAAAGTGTGCCGTCGTTCCCTGTTGCTGTGATCTCCGGCCATGTGAAGAGGAAATCAATGTTTCGAAGAACGATGAGATCGGCGTCGATGAATACGATCTTATCGTAATTGATCAATTGCCATAATCGGAATTTGCTGTAGTTCCATCTGTTGTATGCCTCACGGTCAGCTTTTGGGTTTCGAATCCTATCGATTACTCTCACTTTCCATCCGGCTGATTTCAGACCTTTTTTACGGCGATAACTGATTTTCTTGTCGACGAGTATGACGAGATCTCTCGTAGATCCCGTCATCCGAATGCTCCGAGCAGCGGCGATTGCGCCACAAACGTAAAAATTGGCAGAGTGAAGTATCGTAACATAAGCCTCTCTTTGTTTTTTCATAGACTCCGGCCATCGTCGACTTTCAGGTGACGTCGAAGGGACTGCAAGCTTACAAGATCCAATCGGAAGTTGTATACTCTGTTTCAGTGATGTCATATCCGGTTTATACATCCAGATATTCCCCTCATGAAGTACAAGATCCTTCAATCTGAATAAATTGGGTATAGGGAAACATTCCGTCACGAAAAGAACATGCACTGACGTGTCTCCACCAGAAACGGCAGCAGCCAATTTTGCCGCGGAAAGCTGCAAGTGTAACCGGTTAACGTCGCGTGACCAATCCCCGGACTTATTGCAAGGAAGGTTAACGGCTATTAGATCATACAGCGTTGGATTCCAATTATCTAAAATATCAGGAAGCGATGGACAGATGGGTCGTTCAGATTCATGAATTCCTTGATCTTCATTTATCCATTCAGGATAGAGAGACGCCCACGGTATGTCATTCTGAACGTGTTCTAAATCTATCACCGACGAGTTAACACCAGATAGTAGTACCTGCCGATGATCATTGAAGTTTAGCAATCCGATTCTGCTAAATCCGATATCCGTTATCTGCTTCCAATCGATATATGTATACCCTGATGATGATGATAATGATCTACAAAAGTAAACGAAACAAATCTTACTATGATTTGCGATTTACGACTTTAGGAGTATGATTTAAGTACGAACGTACGTTTGGATATTCTGCTGCTGCTCATCTAAGAAGGAAGCTGTCAAGAAAGTAGCGGTGGCGCATATTGTAAAAACGAAGCAAAATCCCAGGGAAGTAGACGACTTACAGGATTTCCATCTATTGAAATAACAAAGGTCAACTTCGTGGTTATCAACAACTTTGCTTCTCTTTGGTTTTTTTCTTCGGATATTGGAATAATATTTCTGACCCATTATTCTTTCTCACTGTTAAACTTGCAGATTCCTCTCAATAACCAGTCATCTTGCCGGAGCTTCTATTAATCGAGCTCAAACTATAATGTATAAAGAAGATGAAAGCTCACTACTACCTTTTGGGTACCATGGGTCCATGTGGAGGTGATTAATTTGTTTTTTTAATATTTGGTAGGATGTTAGGAAAAGATGTGGTTAACTAATTACAAGGAATTGATTGACAAACAAATACAATAAATAGACAGCTGTCTAATAAAGAAGTTTGTTCTAAATAGAGAGAGTTTGATTTCTACATGGGCCGGGTGCGTTTTCTAAATAATGATTTTCGAAAGCCGTCTATCGTGCGTTCGTGCTATCTATCCATTACTTAGATTTTCTATTTAAAATATTTTTAATTTTACTACGATTTTTAGTTTTTACTAATTTTAAGGATTTTTATCTATTTTTTTTGAAAAATTAAAAATCGACTCCGCTGGGGATCGAACCCAGAATCTCTGGTTTCGTAGACCAGCGCCTTATCCATTGGGCCACGGAGTCAATTTCTATTTAAAAGTTATTAAATAATTTTAGAGTAGAATAAAAGGTCTCTGAGAACGGAAACCTAATCCAGTTATTTCAGACAAGTCCGAAGAGGGGATAGGGGGCACTAGGGGAATATTTTTTTTCAATGGGTTACCACTTACCAATGTGGAATTTTGGTAATAAAAAGTTTGCGTGTGAGAGAACGAAACAGTTCAATCCTCGAACTGGCATCTACAATGGCAATAGGAAAAATGTTAAAAATACCCACCTAAGATAGGTTGGGAGTTAAAAATAACCACCTACACATTTTCTGACAATATTACCCTTATAATTAAATCAAATTTACGGATGTGCCACTGTAATAAAAAAACGGGTGGTGGTGTATCGACATTGCAAGTAGCAGGCAAGGAAAGCGACAGCGCCTTGTCTATTCGGACTCCGTATTGGGAACCGTCTCCGGCAAGAACAGTGCACAGACACATGGGTTTGGAGTTGGCGACGATCCCGAACGCAGAGCAACAAGTAATAGGCGGACTTGGTGTCGCGCCAGTTACGAAAGGAAGGCATGGAGCGAGAGGCATGATAACAGACATGCAGTCGGAATCTGCAGAAGCATACACCATCAATAATGCTAAACCTAACATCGGGAAACACAGTGACTTCGAATAACCCATGAGGGAAAATAAAAGTAGTTCTTTTTGATTATTCAAATTTCAGAGGCAGAGGGATAAAAAATTATCTGATTCTGATGAGTTGGGTTATTGGAAACATGATCTACCATGGGGGGCATTTTTTTCAGCACACCCAACACCACCTCATCTCCTCTCAATCCACTTCCTGTCGGAAACCCATCTAAAAGTAGTGGTACTGACAAAATTTAGGATTTCCGGAGCCGAAGAAGCATGACTAAATCGTCGACAGACTGAACCTGCCCGTTATTTTGAGTTTTGAAGAAGAAGAAGCTCAAGATTGAAGAGAGGAGAGGAGGAAGAAGTGTACAAGAACGGGTATTAGGACGGGTCATCGCAACGAGTTGTTGGGTTATACCAATGGGTCATATAATAAATGAGGGCAAATTAGAAAAAATTGTTTCCTAACATACCCTAACCACCTAATGACTAGGCTTGGTGGTTATTTTTGACCACCAAACCATCTTAGGTGGGTAGTTTTGAAACCTTCCATGTGGCATGTCAATTGTTAAAGATAATTTTCTTCTTCTAAAGAGTATAAAAAAATGAAAACGACTGCGCTGGGGATCAAACCCAGAGTCTTCTGGTTTCGTAGACCAGCGCCTTATCCATTGGGCTACGGAGTCAATTTTTATTTTTGAATTTAATATATTGATATTTAATAAATAGAATTTAAAATTTAATGATGCAATTTGAATGTGATTTAAAATTCAGTATTAAAAACTATCTGGGAAATGTGAGATATTAGATCTCAACCGTTCACTAAGAAAATATGTTTACCTGGTCCAACGATCCATTACTAGATTATCTACCGGGTCGTCCCACACATATTGAGGATTTTTACGTGTATGCTGTCTGACTGTATGAGACATTGACAGTTTGAGACTAAGAAAAGAAAGTAAGAAACTGAGACCTTTTTTTATTTATTATTATTATTTTTTTATAAGCGATTTATATTAAAAATAAAATAAAAGGCTACAAAGTACAAACTAAAAGAATTAATTAAACAACTACGATAAAAAAAGGCAATTAATTAAACAACTAAAAGTACGATAGGATATGTGGAATAAGTATAGCTTGTTAATCATCGTCTTGTAGGTCAGTAACCAATAGCCAGGCTTCCTCCCACCTTCTGATAGCTGTATCTTCCAAACTTAACCTGTGCGCTTTTTTAAATAGGCGATAGTCATAGATGATAGTCAAATTTCGTATGAAATCTCTTGTAACGACTTTACCGGCCGAGAGAGCCCCTCATTGTGTCGTAGATTCCTCTCCCTCCAAAGATGCTATATAAATATTGCAAGTGCATTTCAATGTAGTCCCCAGCATGGTGCTGACTTCCTGAATTTGGATATCCCTTCCATGATATCACCCACCCTTATATTTCCTTGCTTTATTTAAACTTTAAATCTTTGTTTTCTAATTTATATTATTCACTCATACTTTTAACGAATATTTATTATACCCTTGTGCGATCGCTGGATCAGCTGAACATTAAAAATTAAAAATCATGCAGGGTTAAAAATTGAAATTTCCACGAAATAAAATATAAACGTAACGGTTTTTACGTGGTTAATAGAATTCCAACAGGCACTAGGCAACAGAAAATAAATGAAATAAAAAAATAAAAACGAGAATCCGAAATATTGAAAGTGGTATAAATTAGACATCTAACCGGAGAAGAAGAGAGGAAGAAGAAGAAGCGGTGGCAGCAGATTAAGGAGGGTTTCTTCCTCCTATTCATCACTATCGATCCTTCTCATTCCTCTCTTTTCGTCCGAATCCGTCGAGGATCTCCAATAAGCCGCCGAGTGTTTGCCAGATCTCCACTACTTCAATCGGATCATCGATTCATTATCATTAGGTGGAGTTTGCGCACAAACATCAACTCTTAATTAATAACTTGTTTTTTTGCTGTTATTTTTTGATTAAATCGGTTAATCATGATTCACATGCACTTTTTAATGACCGGATCAAACCCGAATAGTTTTTTATTTTATTTTATATTCTGCTATTTGATCCTAATTTACTTGTGTTGTTATTTGGCGATTATGCTACCGATCTTTGATTATGTGATCCAATTTTAAGTGTTGTTGCTTTTTCTCCCTTCCTTTGAATGCAGGCAGGGCCACAGGAACGTATTCATCTGAATCATGATTGGAATGAGTTCAGAGGTGGTTGATCTTGTAAACGTTGCAACAAATGAAAAGATTACTGATCTGGATTGGACAATAAACATTATGATATGTGAATTGGTTGCAAATGATCCAAGGTATATCTTACAAAATTAAGTTTATCTTACTATCTTTCTGTCTTATTTTTCTCTCTCTTTCTGCTTGGGTGGTCGATTTATCGAATAGCAAAAGGAAAGATGCTGTCAAATCTATTCAAAGGCGACTTCGAAACAAAAGTGCCAGAATCCAATTTTACTCTGTTAGGGTGAGTTCCATGTAATTAAATTGTAATGCCTTCAGCTTGCCTTAAAAATCTAATATTGCTGATAACTGGTATATTTCTTTCCATTTTCATAACAGCTCTTGGAAATATTGTTGAATAATTGTGGACAGTATATCTACAAGTTAGTGATTGATTATGGAATTCTTGCAATGTTGGTGAAGATATTTAAAAAGAAGGTTATTCCATCTCTCTCAAATCTGTTTTCTTCTTCTTCTTAAATTTGCATAATATACAAATCATTATCATCCTTAATTTTTGCAGAGCGATTTTCCTATCCAACAGAGCATATTTTTCCTTATAGACGCCGTTCAGAGGGTGGTAGGCGGTTCGTCTGGAAAGTTCCCTCAGTATCACGCTGCTTATCTTGATTTGATGGTAATTAAGCACAAAAAATCCTGAAAACTAATGAATATAGTCAAAGCATCTCACCATATTGTAATTTTCTTTTTAAGTATAAATAAATCATGATTCATCAATGGACTAAGCACATTCTTTTTTAGTCCACAGGAGTGAAGTTTCCACAACAGTCTACTGCAATTCCTTCAGATCCTCCTATTGCAAGTAACCCTATCGATAATGCAACTAACCAGGGAAATGTCTCTACAAATGGAAATGGTGCCATTGAACATCCAGTTCCACAGCCTGGGTAACAACATTTTTTGTTAAGTAACAAAATAAAGTGAGAAACTTTAACTCACTGACTGAATTCTCATTTTGTTCATTTTTGCAGCTTAGTTGCAGAGACCTTTAGTTTGTTGGAGGTCTTTAGAGATGTACTGAATGATCAACACTACCGTGAGGTAAAATTATAGACTATGATTCTATATTAGTGATATTATTTTTCCGATTGTATGAACATCAAAACACTGTATTTTTTCTGTAGTTATTAGTCATTAATCTTGCATTACTTGCTTAAATGAATTAGAACTAATCATCTTATCTATTGTTAGACAAGATCGATCGAATTGGATAAGTTATCAATTAGATAACCTTGTAATGGGATAATGTCGAAGTAATCCAATCTTTAAATAAGCTGAAACCATGTAATAAGAAAGGACAATCAATTTCAATCAATTCTACGTTTCTCAACTTAACTCTCTTATGGTAGTGAAAGTGTGAAACGGTTCATAATATTCTGCTTTTTTAAAGCTCGTAATTTGTCAGTTTAGCAGTACATTGAAATATAGATTTTGCAGGGAGCTAGTAGTGATTTATTACAGGATCTTGTTGAAAAATGTTCATCCCAAAAGGAGAAACTTGTGCGTTTTATAATAAATTCCAGGCAAGCATTTCCTTCTTTCTTACTTAGTAATTGATACAAGGTATGATGATGTTTATAATTTTGTACAGTGATGAAACTGTGGATGTCAAAGAAGCAATTGAACTAATCGGGCAAATGAATAAGCTTATCACCAAGCGCAATGCACTCGTTTCACTCCAATCTACTTCTGCCACCACTTCTGCAAATCACGAAGAAACAGACGCAGAGGAAGAAGATTGCGATCATGAGTTTAACAGGTGAATCTTTTCCATCTCAAATAATTTTGTTTTAAACATGTTTCTAAATCACAATGTGGTGTTATTATCAGAATGGATAAGGGTAAAGACTGTGTGATAGATGATTATCAAAAAAATCCCTATCACACCATAAATAGCTCCAGTCCCTGGTCACTTCCAGCAAGGAGCTGTATATATCCAATACCTCCACCACCAACCATGTACAGAGAGAGGGAGATATACTTCATGGAGAGAGAGAAGTCCCTCAAAGAGAACCAGGCTTATGATGGTTTGAGTAATTCTGGACGCATGAGGGAACAGTCTCTACACAGTCTCAATAGCAGTACTATTTCTCGGAGTTGGGATAGTGGCATTACAGATTTTTCTGATCAAGAACCTTGACATTATTTTCAGGATTGGTTGAATAATTTTTGTACCAGAAGTTCTGAACTCCATTGATTTTTTTGCTTTGGTGCAAGTTTGGTTTCTATGTTCTTCCAGAAGTCGGAACTTCCATTCTTCCAGAAGAATGGTTAAAAATTTAAATAGCTTTTTTTTTTAATCTGAGGATCTCTGTATAATTAATTGTATATGATAGGATTTGCCCAGACTCAATTATAAATTATACAAAGATGATCTAATGCTAATAGTTCTCTTTTAGAGAAATTATAAAGGATGTGCATTACATATGATTCTACATCCTATAAGAAGCACAATCTTTCACAGATTGAAATACAAGTTATATATTCATGGGAGTCCAACCTTTTGAAGCTTCAGTCCTTGGTCAGTTAGTCAGGGTCATAGCTGTATAAGATATAGACAATGTTTTTACAATCACTGCACTTGTATTTTCCTATATTATGTAATTTTGGAATATGGCCAACCTCTTTTTCAGTAATCAAAGTTTTAAATTTTTCAGTAATCAAAGTTTTAAATTTTTTTTTTAAAAAAGAGAATAGTTCTCTATTTCGAATTTATCTAATGAGTCTCGATGATTTTATCTAATGATTAGAATTGCATGTGAGAACCATCCGTTTTACTGTAATATGCAATTTTCCCATCAAAAAGAAGGAATCGAGCGACTTTGAGGTTCTTCACACACACACCCAAGGTTCTAATTTCGCCTGAAAGTCTGAAACCCAATCGAGCGAGAGGAGGGAGAGATGAGTGAGACGGAGCTGCGATGTGTACACTGTGGATGCAAGGTGGGGAGACTGGTGGTTCAGTACTCTCCTGGAAACATCCGATTGATCAAATGTGTAAGAATATTAATATCGGATCACAGCAATTGAATCGGTTTTGTTCCGCTTTTCTTCGTTTTAAAATTTACTTGTAAATTGCTTATTGATATTTAGGAAAAATGCAAGCTTGTTGCCGATCCGTACATCGAATGCGAGTTCATGGTATGAACGAGATTTTTAGGGTTTAAAGCTTCAATCCTTGATTTTTACTGGCGTTTTAATTCATTTCATTTAGATAAATTCATAAGTTATTTCTTTTCATCAAAGAAGCTACTATATGATATGCTCCTCGTTTTTTTTTTGAGTTCTTGGGTGACATGTTTGTATTAAAACTGGAAGTTTTTGATGACCAGATTGTTTTCATAGATTTGATCTTGCACAAGGAAAAGGCATACAGACACCTTCTTTACAATATGCTGAATTGGGACCTA